TCCATACATTACAAAATGCAATTGTCCCTTAGCTAATAGTACCATCACGATATACGTTCGAAAAAAGAATGGATGGAATAATGTTTTCCAATTATCGACACAATTACAACGACAATTGTAGCAAGATAGTCATCGCTGAAAAGCCCTGGATAATCGCCCTTGAGTTTTAATGTATGGAAATATATTTTTTAAGGGGGGTCCGGCACTTCCATAGAAGCCCATGTTAAATTACGTAAGTTTATGTACCTTTTTCTCAGAAACTTCTTGCTACTAATAGATGATATTTTCCACAGTAGGTTATATGTACTATCAGTAAGACTTTAATGGAGGTTTTGTCTTTTTGTTAAGAATTAAATAATTATGAATTTTTCAAAAAAAATGCCAAATTTTTTCCCTTAAAATTTAGTTTAAAAATACATTATCCTAACACAGTTCACTATATATATATCTTATTCCCTCCATTAAAATGTGTAAACATGTTGAAAGTATGCTGAAACACTGAAATTTTGAGGATCCTACATTAATAAGTTTTTGAGAAAAAGAGCCATAAAGAGAAAAATATTGCTTTTGAGAAAACAGGTTTTTAAGTTTAAATTTGTAATTTGTCAATGGGAGTGGCTTACTTTTAAAAAATAAATAAAAATATTTGTAATTATCGCATTTTTATTTATCATATATCATTTTAAGCAGAAATGCGTGAACTTTTAAAAAATGTAAAAAAGTCAAAATCGATAATTTTTCAAAAATTCATGTGCCGGACTCCCTTAAAGATTTAAAAACGCCTAAGCTAATTTTTATAAGGGAATGAAAATACTCAGAGAAAAAATGTGTAATTCCACAGAAATCTTTATTATATACATTTTGCTCTTTTAGATGTGTTTTTAATTCATTCTTATTACACACACACAAATGTACATATATTCACCAGCAAAAGTTTACAACCTGTTTCTTTTAGTCTAATTTGAAAATGAATGAAATATAAAAGTAAATAATTTGAAGGAAATGTGCAATGAACCATTTCTTATTGCATACGACACATAAATTTGAATTTTTAACACAAAAGAATACTTTTCCACAATAAAAGTAATCTTGGCAGTAAAGTTCATTGTTTTTGGAAAAAGCATTACATATTTTAAGTTTAGGAGAAAAAATGTCGTGAAAACTTTACAAAAATGGGTGATTTGATAAGGAATGTGGGCACCTTAACTGCAATGATTTGGTGACATCTGTTTTCTGTTACCAATTTGTCGGGCACTGAAATGGGAAGCGAAGATCGGAGGTAAAGTAACACTTGTTGAATGTCATATAACGACCTTGGAAGAGGACTTATAACAGCAATGTGTCATACCAAGTTCGCTCTGAATATACACTATCGTATTCAGAGAGATTCAGTTGGCCGGCCAACTTGCTCCGAACTGCGATTCTCAAGATAGTCCTCAACAAGCACATATCAGTGAGGTCGCACTTTAATATACATCAAGATGAATTCATTATTAATAGTAGCTGCACAAAGGTGGATATATCAAACAATGATTTTGTATCAATATTTCACATTAGTTAGAGTACATCCAAGAAACAAAGGCAGGTCAATATGATCATCAATCTGTCCAAATCATCATCCCCCCTATGTAACTGTGTCTTGCAAAATTGTTGGATTGGTTGTATCTGGTGCGTTGTTCCTTCCAGATCAACAGATGTCCTGAATCGCTTTTCAGTATAAATCAGTACTCACTGTGGAGAGTTCCGAAGTTTCTTGCTGTCTTATCCAAGAAGCGTGTTTCCTCACTCAGTATATCTCTGTCGATGGTTCAGGACATATATAACTAATCATCTTGCATAGAGAGGGGAATTATGAATACATTTTTGTCCCGTAGTAGCGGAAATTCTTGTTCCTGGTGCGACAAAATTATTCGCATCGAGCTGAGGCACAGTAATGTTTCTCCTCCTTTAAGTTGAAAGACCAAGAAAACAGTATCTCGCAGATATTGTAACTCGTAATTGATCTGGAACATGTCTTCTTGGTACAGATTCTTCAGATTTAGGCCCCTTTCCCATCCATCCAAACGCCCGCCACCATGATGAACAGGGTAAATGACTTCTCCTAGAAGCTGCTAGACTCTCTTGGATACTGTCAACGACTTAAGAATAATTGAAAGTATGTTTACACATTGTGATCATTTGTATTATTTTCATAAATTTACCATCTATTACTTATATATGAAATACAGTCAAACCTCTATATAACGAACGTCTATATTACGAATTTTTCTAAATATATAGCGAACTTTTTGCTGGAACCTTGAACATTTCACGATTTTCTTCGTAAAATAACCTCTCTATAGCAAAGTGCATTTTCTATGTAACGAACTTTTTCTTTTGTGATTCAATTTTTGTTCTCCCTGTTTTTGAATTATTTCTGAACATTTCAAGTTATTCTCTCTTTAACACATTTCATGGGGGTCATAAATCTTGAATTGGTTTTATTAGATCCTAACTTGCCGAGAGCAATAAAGTTCTGAACGTTTCATCCAAGAAGTGCAACCTTTAACCCCCATTGCCCAGTTCACTAGAAACATCTTCGATATCCCCTTTCACCACACTCAGCGGAGTTGTCCCCGTGTTCTAGTTATAAAATAAAGCATGTTTAATATTATTTGTATGCTTTAAATTATAAATATCCTTAACAAATTTAGTGTTTTTAGTATAAAATTATTTTCTTAATATTGAAAATACAGTGAATTCTTCGACATTCTTTTTCTTGTTTTCCTTGTAGTTTTTTTTTCTTTTCAATCTTTTTTTTTATGGGTAAGATACATAAAATAAACATATATTAATTTTAAAAAAAGGTGTGAATTATTACTTTTTAATATATGGTGTTTATGAATTTAAACTTTGTTTTATGTGGTTTATAAAGTATATTAAAAGATGAACTCTATATAACGAATTTTCCATATAACGAACTTTTTTCTGAGATCTAGCTACTTCGTTACATAGACAGGTCCGACTGTATAACAAAAAAACTTATTATTAACTTTTAGAGGACGATAATCGATATTTCGACCAAAAGGAGTAGTCTGTCGAAGAATGAGCTTTGTTTAAAAATGAAAGATTTACTTTCTCTCCTAACTGCTTTTAGAAAGCCTTGAGGTCTATCAAAACTCTTAAATGCCAATCACTTCACCAAACTTGCTTGTTTTCAAACGAGGAGGAGAATACAACCTCTGACAATGAAGTTCGGTGAATGAAGTCAGAAAGACCGATCTGGCAACACTGGCGAAACAAAGCGCAGCACATGCGTAGCGGCAAATGTTGACCGTTTCCCCCCAACGTTGCTTAGTTGAGTGTCGTTTGTGTTTCATGAAAGACTTGTTTACAAAGTGCTTGTTTAGTGCGTTGGTTCTTAACTGAGAACAGGAAAATGAACGAACAAAATATGAATTTAAAGTTTTGTTTTAAGCTTTGCAGAACACCAAAAAAAAGCGTGCCATGCTGGTACGGGTTTATGAAGATCAAGCACTGTCCACGAAGTGTGTGTACGAGTGGTTCACCCGTTTTCGGCTGGGAAAGTGTTTCTGACAACCCCCGTAGCGGAAGACCGGCGATCTCCGTCAGTGACGAAAGTATTGAGAAAATGAGGTGATTAATCATTAAAGGTCGTCAATTAACTGTGCGCATGATAGATGAGGAACTGTAGATTAACCGTGAATCCGTGTGACAAATCGTTACATAGAATTTAGGGATGAGAAAAACGTGTTATCGGTATGACGATATTCTTAACATCCAACGAAACGTGACGAGGCTTTTGAACTTCGTCCTAAAAGAAGACTTCTTGCAAAGTTTCCAGGACTTATATAGCATTCCTCAGGGGTGCATAGTTATGGGAGGTGACTATTTTGAAGGACAGTAAGGTAATTGTCGTTAATATTTCATCTACGTTAATTTTACAGGACTATTCACCAAACTTTATTGTCGAAGGTTGTATCAGTGATTATTTCTGACACTTCGGCAATTGCCCACTTGGTATATTTTTGAAACTTATTTTTTCAACAAGAGAGTCATTATAACAAAAGAGAGCCCTGTACATCTGAATCATATTCCAGTATGTCAATCATGTTCAGAATAAAGAAAAAAAGTTAACCAAAGGTTGCACCATTTTAGGAAAAGTTTCGTAATGAATAATTGTATTTTAAAGACAGAATAAATAAAGGGTGATAATAATTTGCGTGGTAGGTTCCTACCTTTAAGAATATTTTCCAAGTTTAAATGTTAATTTTAAAATAGAACATAACTATATCGTGCCTAAAAAAAATTCATTTATTTAACTATTATTTGAGATATTAAATTAAAAAACGTTTTTTGTTGTTTTTGTGTTTTAAAAGAATTAATGTAAATGAAAATCGAATAATTAAATCAGACGTCAAGCTAAACATAATATCGAGTCATTGTTTTATTAAGAAAGAGCTTAAATTATCTATTTATAAATAGTCTTTGAACTAATAACTAAATTCATGGGTTATAATTAATTTTTTAAAACCTCGTTTTTAACTTTAATAGTAGTTAAATTGTAATAATAGTTAATCCGATGCGCTATTCAAAAAAGTGCATTATTGAAATAATTTCAGATTTTTAAAAGGTTACTTTATGAATAATGACCTAATATAACATTATATTGACTCTTTATGATTATTTAAAAAACTATAATGCTCTTTCATTTTTGGACTAGATTTTTCATTAAAATAAGTAATAAAAAAATTATAGTCAATTTCTACTTAGGTCAACAAAGAAAAATTTTATTTTACTTACTTTTTATTAAATAGTTACGATTAATATAAATATATGTATACATATGACAGAATCCCAATATTAAGTGACAAATTAGAAAGCGATTTTCCGTTCTATATATGGTGTTGGACTACTTTTTTTTGTCTGTTACTATTTACTCATTAATTAAATTTAATTATTCCAATAAAATAGTATAGTGAAAAGAAATCACATCAAGCCATCCCAAGTAGGATTCGAACCCACGATCTTTGAACTAGAAGTACAACGCGCTATTTATTGCGCTACAGGGACACAACGAACGATTTTCCTTTCTATACACACTGTTGGACTATTATTATTGTTTGTTACTATTTATTCATTTTTTAATTGAATTAATGAATTAATGTTTGAAAAAATTGTGTTAACAGTACAAGTTTAAAAAAAATGTATTTGAACTCGAATTGATGATACTATATTTCACGATTGAAAATTTGAACAAGATATATATATATATATATATATATATATATATATATATATATGAGTGTGTGTGTGTGTACTATATAGGGAGAGAGTGAATTAATAGTAGGAATTGAAAAAGCGATCATGTGATAATTAAATAAACACAAATCAAAGAATGTCGTTTATAAGTATGAAAAAGTAAAGGGGAAAAAAAGGCGCCATACATGCATCAAAAATTAGAATAACATTTTAGATAACTCATGCATCGATAATCGTAATACAATTCAAACGTCATCAGGTGTGTATCCCCAAAAGGCTACTTCAACTATTCAAGGCAAATGTGCGATTACCTGCATCGATCTTTATGTTCTTTTGCAAACATTTCCCTGACATTACCACACCCCAATACCTTCCGAAAACACCACGAAATGTGTGACTGTATCATTATGACATGACGTGCAGCATGGTCAATTAGAGTTTATGTCAACTCCAGTGTAAGGTTAATTTCTGTCTTTTCTTAATCACGCGTCTGTCTGAAAAGTTAGCGAGGTGTAGTTTGAATTCGAAATACACTCACTTCAGAAGAAACCGCCGTTTGAGGAATATATTTTTCATTGTTTTACCTCGCGGCTCGGTCGCCATCTACCTTCAAATCGATCATTAGTCACTGCAAAAGTAGCTGCTGAGTCTTCAATTACTGCCTCCGCATCTGGCAATAGCTCTTCTAAAAGTGTGTGCCTCTTTTGGAAGTCACAAAATGGCGCGTCTGTGGAACACTTGGGGCAATTCGAACCACCTGCCAGGGTGAAAAATCTGACGCTTAGGGTGGCAGTTTTCTCCACCTTATGATAAATCAAAAAGAGAAAATAAACAACAAAGATCGAAGGGGGGTAGGAAGAAGCATGGAAATCGTTTGGGGCAAAAAAAAGATGTAAAATAAATTGTTTGTATTAGATGAAGATATGCATAGGTAAAAGGAAGAATGGTTCTAATGTTATTTCTTTGTGGAGTTGTGTCATTAATAACGATCATTAGAACCATTCTGAGCGTGAAACAAATGATCGCTTGATCGCACGAGAGTGTGATTTAGAATGGAAATGTGAGCAACACGAGGGAGGGAGGGGTGAAGTATGTACGTAGCTGTAATATTCGTTAAAATAGGAAGTCGATTTTGCTCAAATGTGCATTTGTTACCATTAAGAAAACACTGATCGATTTCGTAACTATTAGTGATGAATGATTTTGTTCTGCAAACATCAAATTATCGGAATATTCATAACAAATATTTTATAAGAAAAATTACTGTTTTATATATATATATATATATATATATGTAATTATATATATATATATATATATATATATATACTAAATTTGTATTCGTAGAATAAATGTAATTACATTGCCACAATTTAAGAACAGCGAAATATTTTACAAGCGTATGAAATAAAATAAAATAAAAAGGGTCATGTAATTTCTTTTTTTTTTTTAGTAAATTCCATTAAGCTTAACAATTTTTTGTTTTCAATGTTGCTTCTCTTTATTTTTGGCTGTTTTTAATTAACACTAAATATCTTTCACTTAAGACTACACAATATCCTACAAATTTCAAAAATATTGATTTTTTTTTCTTTCACATTTTCTTGTGACCCATATCATTGGGAAGCTTTGAGAGCGTACGTTTTAGTTTCATATCAAAGGTTTTTGCCATTCATAAATTGAATTAATTTATATATAATTATGAAATATTATGAAATATATGAATATAGGAAAATTTATGAAATACACTCATGGACAAAAAAATTAGCGCACCAAGAAATAATTGTGGGATTGTAACGAAACTTAGCATGAAGGTACATGTCGGGAAGACATGCAAATGATTCGAAATGCAGCGAGCGTGATTGCACATTAAGAATAGCCGGTAGAGGGAATTTAACGTCGTTCTCCGTGGAGTACGAAACAGGTAACCAAAGCTTGTTTGAGTGTGCTGAATCGTTTACAAAGCAAGAGCTGAGGTAGACATGCCATTACGCCGTTTTCGAAAACAATATGAGCAGCTGTCGCAGTTTGAGAAGGGGAGAATCGTCGGTATGATGGACGCTGGGTGGTCAGCTAAGCGAGTAGCTCGTCAATTAGACTGCTCTGATTGTGTTGTGATGAGGTATTGGGACTGGTGGATCCGAGGGATGTCATTTACACGAATACCAGGCTCAGGTCGCCATCAACAGATCAGTCGTCGAGAAGACCACCACATCGTAAGAAATGTACGCGTACGGCTAACTGCTTCATCGGCCGCCATCCAGACACAGGTAGCTCCTTCATTAGGGACCCCTGTGTCTTCTCGAACCATACGAAGGCACCTGGCTGAAGGACATTTGGGATCACGGCGCCCATTACGTATGCTGCTCTTGACGCCCACTCATCGACGCCTCCGTTTGGAGTGGTGCCGCGCACAAGGAAACTGGACTGCAGCGGAATGGAACCAGGTCGTCTTTAGCAACGAATCCAGATGATCAGCAGTGATGATAGTCGTGTTCGTGTGTGGAGACCCCGTGGGGAACGCCTCAATCCTGCCTTTGCTTTACAGTGACATACCGCTCCTACAGCAGCTGGTGTGATGGTATGGGTTGCCATTGCCTACAATACACGGTCACCCCTAGTATTGATCCGAGGCTCCATGACAGCCCACCAGTATGTCCATGACATCCTGCAACACATGTGTTGCCACTCATGCAACGGCTCCCAGGAGCCATTTTTCAACAAGACAATGCTCGGCCTCACATGGCAAGGGTGTCACAAGACTGTCTCCGCACTGTTACTACCCTTTCTTGGCCTGCCCCATCCCCCAGATTTGTCTCCAATCCTGCATATCTGGGATCATTTGAGACGGTGAGTTAGGCATCCTACGAGTTTGAACGAACTAAAGGCAAGGTTACAGCAAATAAGGAACGAAATGTCTCAAGACATACAGAACTTGTATGCCTCAATGCCCGATCATATCGCATCGTGCATTCAAGCGAGAGGGGGTTCAATAGGGTATTAAATCCTCCATTCTTTTGCCCTTTTCTCTGAAATAAATGATCCTTTTTCTTTGATTTTCTAATCATTTACTTATATCAAAATAGTCATTACATATGTAAAATTTCATTTTATTTTGAGGACTTCTTGGTGCGCTAATTTTTTTTTGTCCATGAGTGTATGTATTATATTATAATTATGAAAATATTTTTGAGCACAATCAACTATTTTAATCTGAAATGGATTATTTATTTCAATTTCATTACTAAAATCATTTCTGCTTAATAAAAAATAATCAATAAGAGTTCTCATAGTTATACTTATTTAAGATTGATTTCAACTCAGGTGTCCTCCTCGTCATTTGACCATGGTTCAAAGTTACGGGGTCAGACACAAATACCAATTCTTATGCGATGTTAATAAACACTCACTCCAAAACAAATTTGTCACAATCGCGTGGTCATCATTATCACTATCGAATTATGAGTTCCAGTTTGGATATCATTAAGGAGGTCCATAGGAGCCAATGTTAAATTGCGTAAGTATATGTATCTTTTTCTCAGAAACTACTAATTTCTCATGTAGAAAATATTTACAGTTGGCTATGTAAGTAACACTTTAACGAAAGGTTTTGTTTTTTTTTTTGTTAAAAATTGAATAAATTATGACTTTTTTAAAAACTGTCGAAATTTTTTCCCTAAAGTTTAATTTAAAAAAGTCATATCTAAAAAAGTGTGCAATATATATCTAATTCCCACCATCAAAATGTGTAAATATGTTAAAAGTCTGCTCACTGAAAATTTGAGGATTATATGATAAGTAGTGTTTCAGAAAAATGTACATAAAATGAAAAATATTACATTTTGAGAAAACAGGCTTTAAAGTAAAAATTTGTAATTTTTTAAGCATTTACTTCTTTTTAGTACTTTCCAGAAGCATATGAAGTATTATTTTTACTCTCTGCTCATAGAAAAAACTCTTCTAATTTTTCTTTTTCCATTATTTGTAACAATTTTGCCTTTTTTGGGGATCTCGAGACGCTTTCGTTGGGCTACACGAATCCTACGTGTATCTAGTTCTTTGAAGCATGACACACAGTTATAACTTAGTTCAAAATAACTACGTCTTAAGATCATTAATTCTTCTACATGACTCATATTAAACTGTGCAATAGCCATATTTACCCCTAATTTTAGAGTTTTTATTTCCGCCAATGTAGATCTTGGTACTAATGACCTATGCTTTTATTAACTGACTTATTTGGGTTCTGAGTCTTTCCATGTAAACATTTTCTTAATAATATGGAATCACCAAGATCTCTAAATTTTGGCTACATTTATTTCATCACGGTATATGGTATGTGTATATGTGTTTATGATCATGGTGCTTTTCTTTACATTCAGCTTTTGTCTTTTGAAACTTGTCTTTTGAACTGCTGGACACAATCCATGTTGAGGGTTCTAGTTTGAAGACAGAAGATGAAAATAAACAGCCCAAATAGCAGTTTTCATGATGTGTAGATCATTGATATTATTTCTAACAGCCATACTATAATATCTTCGAATTTTTTTATGTTAAAATGTCGGTGAGTCGATTACAACCTCTTAGGATTTTTCTATTACTTAACTTTTTTTTTCTCGGTTTCTCTTTTAAAATCCAAAAGACGTGTACCCATACACTCTTTTGGATACACTCTGATTTTTCAACTTGAAAATCATGGATTCACGCCCATCAGATGCAAGGGGAAGCACAGGTGTTCCTAACAGAGCTCATTTGATGCGCGCCAAGGAGCAGCTTCGTTTAAAAATTTATATAAAAATACTTTTAATTAT